TGAATTCAGGGCTCCTGTTTCTTGATGCACTTTACTTGGAGTGACTCTGCAGCCAGTGGTCCATTTAACCCTGGGGACCCATTTTCTGGCAATTTGGGAAATGTGGGAGGCAAGACCCTGTTCATTGAACGTGAGTGCTCATATTGATAGCATGCCTGCTGGGGTATAATAAAAAATATGTACTTGGCTTTCGTCCCTAGTTCCTAGCACCGTGCTCTCCAAACCCTTAGAATTTCCTGAGTGAGTGGGTTTTCAAAACCAACCATGTGATGAGAGGATTAGAACTTTCAGCTTCACCGCTTGACCTCTGGGGAGAAGAAGAGGTTTGAAAAATTAGGTTCCATCTCCAATGGCCAGTGATTTAATCAACCATGCTTGTATAATGAAACTTTGATAAAAAGCCCTAGCAACGGGCTCAGGGAGCCACACTGACGTGCTGGGAAGGTCGTGTGCTGGAGGGGGCATGAGAGGTTTGTCTCCCTCCCCCCAATACCTTGCCCTAATGCATCTCTTCCACTTGTCTGTTCCTGGGTTGTGGTCTTTATAATAACAACTCCGTAATTGTAAGTAGTGCACTTTCCTGGATTCGGAACCTCAGGGGAGAGTGTAGGAACTCCACATTTATAGTTTGCTGGGCAGAGATGTGGGTAGTCTGGGGACGTCATTTGTGGCTGGTGTCTGAAGTGGGGCAGTCTTGGGGACCCAACCCTCATCTCTGGGCAGTTAATGTCAGAACCGAAGTGACTTGTTGGACACCCAGTGGGTGTTGGAGAGTTGGGGAATTGGTTGGTGTTGGAATGACCCATTTACTGTTGGAAAGAACACCGCCCAGTTGGGGCTGAAAAAAAAAAAAAAACGCTACACATCTATTTATACCAATGTCCTCAATTAATGTATAAATTTCTGCCTCAAAAATCTCTATCTGTAGATCAAAAAAAGTTAAGTGATTTTTGATTGCTTTGATACATGGAATGTTTTGGAAACTCCAGAAGACCTGAAAAACTCAATAGTCTTTTTGACACATATTCTCCTATGTGCCATTAGCTTATATATAAACTTTCAAAAATAATTTTGAAAATAATATCTCATATCTTTAAAACATCAGTAAAGAATAGACAGAATAACTGTCATTATCCTTGTTTAATAGAGAAAATTTAAGCACATATCTATTTCAAAATCTTTTACAAAGTCATGTGGAGAATTGTAGGCAGAGCTAGGACTAGTATCTTCGATGCTTAGATCTTAATTCAGCAGACATCTGGTTCCTTTAGAAGAAAGAAAGGGAAATAATAACCAAAGACATCTGCAAGTGTTAGTTGTTACAAGATTTACAACTTTTATTAAGCAGTTACCCTTTCTCTTCCATGAATTTTATGAACAAAATTGATTTGGAAATACATACTAGGTATAATAGCAAATAAGATAACTCAATGTGAAAAATGTACATTTTTTTCCTATGAAGAATTCATTTTAATTGTTTGCTCTCTTTTTCATAGACGAGAAACTAAACTTGTTTTTTAGGGCATTCTGACTATCTGTTTTTAACAAATGTGTAGTGGCTTAAACACTAGAAGTCCTTTGCTACTCAGGAAAACAATCTGAACAGGTTCTGGCTTCGGGAGGGAGGTTGAGTGGGATTGGGGGCAAGTAGGGAGGGAGGGAGAGAGCTCCGATCCACACACTCATTCAGGGACCCACCATCCAATGTTGCCTTAGGCAAGAAATAGAGGCAGAAGAAATGTGTGCAGATTAATGCAAAGGATAAGAAATAGAAAAATGAGGTATAAGAAAAGGCAAAGCAAGACATAGCAACACTGCCCATCTTGGATGAGTTTTCACAGCCTCTGGTGATTGTGACTAAAGCAACTTAATGCAGGGAGTCAGTTGAATTCAGAGAGGGAAATAGATGCCTAGAGTTTTACGTGATCTCTTCTTGTCTTTCGTAGTTTCCTTATTTAGGAATTTCCTTCTATGTTGCCTCCTCTACCTGATAGATTGTAATCTCCAAAAGTGGCAGATAAAGGTCATCAGGTTTTCAAGAAAAATTATGCACACTCGGCATCCTGCAAAGAGAAAAATAATAAATTCATATGTAGCAGTATGAGCCCTATTGATTAAATAGATGTGCTCATATTTTGATGTTGTAGAAATATGCTCACAAAATGACATCTTTTTGATTACTATCCACACAGAATTCTAGAGTACATATAGTGATTTCCACCCATTCTTTTCCACCTCTTTGTTTTTTTTGGAGCACAGAATACTAAGTATTTCTCTCTTGGGTAATAATATTATTATCATTTGGTTCTGAAGTTCTGAAAAGTTCTGACGTCCTGTTATCTAATCATGTTAAAAAAGAAAGGATTCAAATCAACCACTTGCAAAATTAAGTTTTAGATTTTGTTCTAATTCCTACAGCCTGAGATTACCAGGGACAAGCAAGCCTGTAGTCTGACGGTCAGATTTATTTACTCATTGCAACAACGGAGAGGAATAAACATCAGAGGCACCATGGGATGTTTTGCCAAAGAGACAGTTATTATTGGTTTTGGAAAAGGGTGGTGTTTACATCGAATTGATAAGAAGCAGTGCTTTGATAAGTTCAAAGCAAGCCAGAGCTGTGTGTAAAGAGGTCAAGATCAAGTCTGGATTGCGACGTAGACCCAGGGTTCTGCTTTGTAGGAAACTGCAAACTTAAGAAAATGTGGACCATTGTATTCAGAAATCCTTATTGGAAGCTCCACACCTGGATTAAAAATCAAGATTCCATCACTTTATCACAATAACTTAGATCTTCCAAGCAAAGGTGAGCTGTTTTACTCTTGCCGATATCATTTCGAACAGCAAGTTTCTGATGGTGTTTGACTTTTGAGAACAAAGTTCACCACTGAGTAAGAAAGGGGTGCTCACCCAAAGGAGGGTTGTTATGATACTTTACAGCTGCAGCAAGTTCCTAGGAGAAATATTATTTTCATTAACTTTGCAGCTGGCCTCCCTCATATCTGTTATTCAAGTCTCGTGAATGGCAGAGCAGATTTTTGCTTTCTCAGACAGCTAATTTCTACTTTCTTAATGTTATTGAATATGTAGCAGTTTATTAAAGGACTTTACAAACAAAAAATCTCATTTTAACTTTACGACAATCATGAGCTATTATAAAACAATGTAAATGTTGATAGCACTGTTTTATATATGAAGAAACCAAAGTACATAAATGTTTAAGGTTCTCCCCGCTTCTCTTTTCACATTGCCAAATGGACAACTAAAGAAAGAGCTAGAATTATCATCCTTATTTTCTAGGACTCAGTTCCATGGTTGTCTATTCTCTATTTTTACTGTCTTTCTGAACAAGGTAGAGAGAGAGAAATGATAACCAACACATCTCAATCTTGACTGTGAATTATGCAAAATGTCAAGATGCACCACTTTTTAAAGTACAAATTACTGTTTCCTCTCATTATTTTATAGATCCAATGGTTGTTAGAAACACTTCTACCCTGGACACATGTTAGAAAAAGAGATATGTCCAAACCAGAAGTCTTGGTATACAAAGAAGCTTCAGAATTTTTTTTTCCTACAAAACATTAAATCTAATTCTTTGCTAGATCATTCACAAGTAAGATAAATTTTAACCCATTTCCCATTTAGAAAAAAACAGTGCAGCTCACTGCCAGTTTTCATTTAACATCACATGTAGAAATGCTATGTTTTCTAGGATTTGGCATTATCAGCAATCGGGAATTACTATATTTTATAAATGGAAATACCACTACTAAAAACAGAGTGCTATAAATAGAATGACATATTTTTTCCCAGAGACTATTGATATCCTAGAGAGATGCAAAAATAATAATAACAGCGAGATATTTTGTGGCAAACTTTGCGCGTAAGGTTAGGATTGTAATCCATGAGTTATCTCAGGGTAAATGGGAGATGGGTTAAAGGGTCCAGCTTAATCTTTTTCAGTTGATTAGGGTAGGCATTTATAATGGCTAAAGGAGAAGTTGTTTCCTGATTGTGGGAACAGCCTACCATATTCCAAGCCTTGAGTAGGAGTGGCGTCGGGAGAGGAGAGGGTGGCTGTGTCCCACGTCGTCATTCAGACACCTAGGATGCTGAAGCCGATGCCATTTTCAGCATTTACCTTCCAAGATTCTTGTGGAGAGACCAGATAGGAATCAGAAGAGACAAGGAGAAAGAGTAAGAAGCAGTGACAGTGAGGTGCAGGGAAAATGGAAAGTGAGACCAATCAGAACTGCCAATTTTGAGCAAATTTTTCTCAATCTCTGGCAATAGAGCTGCAGCGCCATTAACCTCTGTAGGTGAGATGCCTCTGAGAGGCATACCACGGTAGCCTCAGGTGGGCATAGTCCTACTCCTGGGTTCCTGGTCATCCCGAGTCTTTTTGTTATGTGATGTCCTTTTCTGTTAGCCCCTTGGGCACCCAACTAAGATCGCTAAAGGATCTCATTCCTCTGTTAAGAAATCAGTAGAGATGACTCTCTGCAAGTAAAAGAAGAGCCCTAAGAAGCCTCTGTTGCAGCAGCCAGCAGTGGTCCAGGTAAGGAAATGCCAAATGTCTATCAACAGGAGCTTGGAATCAGAGTTATCGTCTCCAGATTAATTTTACTCTGATCACCATCCATTTTATCTGGGTATTTTGGGGAATAACAGTAATCGATAAGTAATTATAAATTCATGTTTATCAGAATTGTTATGAATATGATGGTATTTTGAGTCTCTTTATATCATTGTAACTTGAACCTCTATTCAACGGACATTTCCCTTTTCCACTTGCTCTTTATTGTTATTATGTCCACCTTGCCTCTCTGTTGGTTACATGGCACTATCTGCTATTTACCTTCTGGAACCCTATCGGCCCCATTCATACTAGGAAGTTCTATTACATGATGCCATCTCCAGTGTCAACTCCAGTTTACAGAGGACAAGCAAAAGCGAGGTTCTCAAAAATGCCAGCACTCCCTCACCAATACATTTCTTATTGTCTTAGTGAAGGGGATATCCTCGAGGTTCATGTGGGTAACACAGCCATGGTCATGTTTTCTGGTCTCATGTAATATATCCGGTTTGACATTTCTACCTTCCTAAACCTTCTGACCCCTTCTTTGATATGCTGAGGCATTTGGGGGCATTTGTATCTCATTTACTAAATACCATCTTTTTGTCCAAATTTCAAGGAGCCGACTCAGTCATAGATAGAACTGTTCCAAGTGTCCTTGCCAGTACCTTACACCCTGATTCAGAGGAGAGGGCTTCCATGTCGATGAAGTCTCCATTATTCAATCTTATATTCTACTCTTTCTGGTCTAACTCTCTAAAAACTCACTCCTACAAATATCATCTGTTGTTTCAAATATTTATAAGCCAGGTCTTGCTAGGTTATGGCGTTAACCCTTAGCTCCACTGGCTTCCACAGCAGGTTTACTTCCTGCTTACTCAAAGCCCGCAGGAGATCTGGGGGCCCCTCTGGGATGGTGGTAAATACATGTACCAGGCTGTGTCAATCTTCCGGCTCATCTCAAAACGAGGCCTCAATAATCAACATAGCAGGAGAGAAGGTATAATGGAGAATTTTTATGGCTCTTCTATGAATTGGTTTGCAAGTGACACATGCCACCTCTAATCGTAGCCCAGCGGTGAGTGTGTTAGTCATTTGGCCCTGCCTAATGCAAGGGAATGGAAAATTTAGGGGTGCGTATGTAATATCTGATAAATATTACTGTTTCTGCCACAAATAATAAGTGACAGACTGGAAAAGCAATTCTTAGATAATGATGCAACAGTGAAGCCACATTACTGAATCCTCCTAACCCAGCAAAGCAAATAAAAAAAGTTAAAAAGAAAAAAAAAAGGTCAAAATTCAAACAGCAACTCTAAATGAAAAAATATAACTTTAGTAGGAGGCAAAGGATTGAAATAGGATATGCTATAAGAGGGCTTCAGGGCTAAAATATTTTGCTTGGTCTACGATGGAATTTATCAGTTTTTCTAGATAACTGTGGTCCTAGAACATTCTGGCAGAATCCCTGAACGTTTTACCTGTTCAGGAGACCATCCCTCTAAATAATCCATCAATTGTAATAAGAAACTTTTAAAACTAGATCTACCATGAGATCAAAGCTGCATTTACTACCTAAACCCCTTCTGTTAGATAGGTTATTATGGCATTTCAGGCCTCTAGAATTAGCTGAGGACCCCTGCTCAATAATCCTTTAAGGAAGTGGGAATTTTCCTTTTCCTAGAGCATTGTTAACTTGGAAAATAGACACTGGTCACTTTCAGAAGGATGAGGGAACATTGCAACCTTGGATTTTATGTCCTCCATTTGTCTCAGTTTCCATCAACTAGCTGAGCAGACAACTCGGATTGTTGTCTTTTGCTTGAATTAACAGGCTGAATACAGAATTCCTGCCACACGTAGCCACAATGATACATTCATGTGTCTTAGATATGACTTTAAGTGCTTTACATACATACATTTATTTAACCTTTAACATTTTTTACTCCAATAACAAAATTTCATTATCGAATGTTGAAATGGTATATTGGATACTCAACTTTGGAACCAGCTGGAGACAATAATTTCTGAGGTTGAAGTACTTCCCAGTATGGTGTAGTGTGTACTCTGAACCAGCTACCAAGATATGGTACTCTTTTTCTTATAACCAGGATATTTTGGGTCTGGGAACCTGTCAAGCAAGGCTGACAGATTTGGCTGGTAAAGAAATGATACACTCTTTTCATATTCAGATAGTTTATCACTGACTTAGACAACAAAGGAAGAAGAGAAGATGCCAGCCTCTCACATCCTCTGTCCCATAGGCTTGTATGAAGACAAAAGGGGGTGTGGATGGCAAACGGTGTAACGTGAGTGAGAGTACACAGTCATGTTGCAGCGAGGCAATTTTAGAGCCTAGCTTCTGCCCCTCAACAAAGTGGCAGAAGGCCTCATACCTCATCGGAAGTTGGAATGCAAGGAGCGAATGTCATGATAGCCTCTGCAAGATAAGGCTGTGAGTTAATGGGGGAATGGACTTCCAGCAGCTCCTCACAAGCCTCCTATGCTCTCTTGTTCTGGAAGGATCAGAGGGCACCCTGCTAAAACTTAAATCAAATCAGCTACATTTAAGTCTTGCCCATGTGGGCTATGTGGAGACATGCAAGTTCACCAGGATGCCATGGCAGAGCCGTTCTTCAATAGAATCAAGAGTTAGCATTCATATATTGGCTAGGTGGAAAACCAGAGGAGAGAAGGAAGAATTAGGGAGATCATTTTATAAACCATATAAATGTCTAATCAATGTACTATATACTCAAAGCTAATAATAATAAAAAAGAAATTGTCAGAAGTTTTAGTGCCGAAGTAAGAAATGATCCATTAGCTGTACCAATTATGATTTTATGAATTGAAAATTCCTGATGCCATGGGGGAAAAGGCAAAAAAGAATGCTATCCAGTATTCAGTTTTGTAAGCAGAGACCAGTAGCTTTATCAAAATATATAAACAATAGTAGCTTTCTATAACAAGCAATAACCAATAATAAAACGTAATGGGAAAAAGATCACTTTCATAATAACAAGAAAAAGTATAAAATACCTGAGAGAAAAAAAGAAATGAATGAGTCCTATGTGGGGAGGAGAAAAGAACAGAAAACTTTACTTAAGAATCTAATGAATGATTCAAATAAATGAATCCATATTATGTGATCCTATTCAGAAAGACTGAATATTTTCCATTGTAAATTTCACTCTAAATTACTCAATAAGAGAATTCGACCAGGCGATTTTAAATTTTATTTAGAAAAATAAATGAATGGCAATAAAAAAAGTAAAAAAAAAAGCATGATATGTTTGCACAAGCAGAATGGTCAGCGAGGACACTGGTGTCATCATGTTCTTTGTAAGGTTCCTAAGAGGAAGATAGAAACGGGCTGCATTACAAAATGATGGGCTCAGACTAACAGAGAAACTGATTGTCTGAATTGCAAAAATTTTCTGGAAATTAGTTTCAAATGTGGTCTCTAGTTGACTTCCCAGGTTGATAAATTTCGTGTCCTGAAAAAGCAAAACAAAAACAATAATAGCCATTGCCAATAAGCTCAGACTCCCAAAGTTTCAGATAACCGGATCTTCATTCTAGGCTACCCCAAATGTTAAGAGAGAATTGATTCAGTGAGAATAGCTTATGTTCCCTGAGAGCTCGATCATTTCTCTTTATCTGAAAGACAGAGAATCAAAAATAGTACTCTATTGCAAGTCTAGGTTTTCAATCAGAAATTCATTGATCAATTTTATTCGAAAAAATTCTGGTTATTTGAGTTTTAAACACAGCACATATTACTTTTAACAATATGGTAGTACGGAAATGTCTATGGCAAATTCACTGTGCCTCCCTTTTTCCTTCTTTCTCGCCCTTTGAAGCAATCCTTGTTAACTTTTGATACAGTTCTAAGGAATTCTGATGTGAAGAAATCCAAAATTTTGACATTTGGGAAATTCGATTTGGAATTTCCCTTTAGAGAAGAGATTCATTAAATGCACTTGTTTCCTATGAAAGGGACTACATATGCAGTCTGCTGTTCTCTGTGGAGGAAACCAGTTATCTAGGCATGAGCAGACTCTGAGGTCCTAGGGTGATGTCTGCGATGGCACCTCTCATTTGTTGTTATTTTCCCCTCTGTAGACCGCAGGGCTTTTAGAATGCTTCCAGAATGTTACTCATGTGGGCTTGCAGCATGACGAGGGAAGCTGTAACATTTACCTGATACAAGAAGGTGAAAGGCAGAGTGAATCAATTCAAGAAGAAGGGAATCAGGGAGTGCCACTTACTTTGTAAATCTCCTTGTGGTTCTGAAAGATTAGGCGCATGTCCCGCACAAACCACATCACTTGGGAGTACAACTTCCTAATCAGCTTTTTCCTGATTTTGTTTAACCACATGGGCTTCTTCAGGGCCCGAGATAGCTCTGTGCTCTGTTGACAAAAGCACCAAAGAGTAGGCTGTTATTAGGATTCCAAGTCTACCTTCTGCAGGGCCTCACTGCTATGGCCTGAGTGTTTGTGTCTGCTCCACCTCTCCATCCATATGTTGAAACCCTGACCTCCAATGGGATGGTGTTAGAAGATGGGCCTTTGGGAGATAGTTAGGTGATGAGGGTGGAGCCCTCATGAATGGGATTAGTGCCCTCATGAAGGGCACCTCAAAGAATCCTCTCCCTCTGTCTCCCCCATCTGGGGACACCACACGAAGTTGGCCCTCTGCAAACTGGAGGAGGGCTCTCACCGGAATCTGACCATACTGGCAACCAGGTCTTGGACTTCCAGCCTCCAGAACTGTGAGAAACAAATTTCTGTTGTTGAAGCCACTCCGTATGTGGCATTTTGTTGTTATAACAACTTAAACTGCTAAGAGCTGACTAAGCTGACCAGATATCCGTCAACAAGGCAAAGATAATGACAACTAGTACTCATTTGATTTATATCACAAATTTGATAAATGCCAGTTTGGGGTTTTGTTGCCGTTACTTACATAATGTGGTTTTAAAGCAAAATAGCTGCTTATCGAACAGCAATAGATCTTCAAGAGGAGGAACTCACATTTCTGCAAAAGAGAAAGGAGATCTTCAGGGGAAGTGCTTGGAGAGAGTGAACTCTTACGCACGCTGAGATGAAACACGCAACTCCCAGACCCGTGAACTCTGAAACACACGTGGGATGGGTATTTCCTTTGGAATATTATGAATTTTGGTGTTAGGTCATGCGGTCAAAGCATAGCGAGGGATAGCAGCCTGCTTTTGGGCACCATTCCTCCAGCCCCCTGTAAAGACTGTGCTTCTTCTCGCAACTAACTAGAAAGGAGAAGGCTTCAGGATCACATTTCAACTCACCAACTGTTCCTTAGGCAGCATCCGCCTCTCCAGGACCTCAGATTCCTGATAACGTGCTTGACTTTCTGGAGAACTTTTCTGGATACTTTCTATCTGGCAGAAGATACAGCTCCATGGACTCCTGAGAAGCAGGACATAAAGTGAGCAAGGACAAGTTCTCTGTGAAGCAGCCACTGTGTCTACAGCTGTTAAAGTCCTCTGTTTAAGAATGACCAATGTTTTCCACTTTATATTCAACTTCTCTCTGGGAGGCCTCTCTGCACTAGAACCCCATTTGGTCTCAATTGCCAAAGACGCCCCGCCCATCAGTAGTGGTAGCAAGGCTGACAGTCTGTTGAGGTGCCATGGTGGGTGATGGATTCTCATTCACCTCAAAACTTAGGGTGTCCATCTGAGTCACTGTGAGTGTGGTAATGAGCCCTGTCCACCAGATCGAGTGTTGAACACTAGTACTGTAAGCACTGGAGTCCAGGGCCTTGATGAGCCATCAGGTCATAGGAAATGTCAGGAAACCAGCTCTTGCCTCTCGATTTTGCTGAAGAAGCACATAGCACAAGCCATAGGCGCCCTCCCCTTTGGCATTGCCATATGTATACCCAGGATCTATGCTGCTTTTTGGAAAGGAAATTTACTAAGAGAGTGTCATATGTTTTTCATTTGCCCGTAGAGTCATTCTCCACTCCTCTCTATCAGGCTCTCCATGCTGTGAGGCCCTTGATAATCAGGTGGATATAATGATTCATCTCAGAGATGTCATCTAGCCTCTCTCTTGGGCCACTCTAGTGTTTGCTCAAGAAGCCCATTGCAGATTAAGATGTACAAATTGCCAGTTATAAAAAGTTGCGGAATGTAAAGTACAGCATAGTGAACATAGTAATATTGTAATAATTATGGATGGTGTGGGAGTGATCACTTTGTAAGGTATATGAATGTCTACCACTATGTCATACACCTGAACCTAATATAATATTGTATGTCAACTGTAATTAAAAAAAAAAAAAGAGGCCCATTACAAAGTCTGTAGTGTAGGGTTGAGGACTACATGTGAGCTCAACAAAAAAGTGTGGATCTTTCTTCTGCCTCTGCAGATTGCTGCTGAATCCCTGAGGTGGTACCACTCCCTTGGAGCTACCTGAGATCAGGGGGTTATGTTAGATTCCTCCAATAGTGGAAGGCAATGCTCTGTCCTCATAGGGACACACGTTCCGGGTACCCACCGTCTTCTGCCCCCACCACCATTTGTAGAATCACTTTACCAATCTATGTTAGCCCACATACCGTCACCTCTGACCAAGGATACATTCTACAGCAAAAGAAATGCAGCAATAGGTTCACATCCTCAGAATTCATGGGCCTTATCACATGTACCATGTGACCCAAGGTCAGCTGACTTGATAGACTATGGGAAGAATGGCCTTCTGAAGGCTCATCATAGCCCCAGCTTTTCCAGCTTTGTGAAGTTCCCATGGAAGGTGGTATATGCTTTAAACTAGCAGCTAATGGATGGTGGCATCACTCTATAATGTATGGTGTCATCACCCCACTCAGGTCTGGGAACCAAGTGGGGGAGGTGAGGTGGTGGTGGACACCTCTTTTTGTTATACTTCTCATTAATCTACCGCTGTCAGCACTGTTAAGTAGCTCTGGGTCATATTTCTGGATAATTAAGGACGCTGCTCTCTCTGCACCAAGATGCATACAACCAGAGACAGACTTTGCAGGCTGAGTGTGCATGGTGAGAGGAGCTATACCACAATAAGGAAGGGAAAGATGGGGCCAGGGCTCACTAACCTGTTGGCATCTATGTGCTGGATGTGGCATTTCTCATGAAAGGAACTTGGACAAGTATCACAGCAGTATAGCGTTCCTCCCTTACGGCATACCTTGCATGTATTTGAGTTTTCCGGCTAGAAGGGGAAATGATGCAGAAATCATTCAGTCGGCAAGAGCCCATAAGGTCAACTTGCTGGGACTCTAGAACACACAACCTTTGCTCGTACCAAGGTGGCACTTGTAAATTTCTGCCCTCAAAATGGTAAGGAACAACAGTGAGCAGAGATTTCAGAAGACATTCTAGTCTGCAGTGAAGTTCAGGAGAAAGTGGCTGCATGTTAGATCAGGAAAGTTTTCCTTATGAAGACAGATTCTGACATTGAAAGGCAAGCAACAACAAAAAAGGATGAATTAAAGATAAACTGAGCAATTTATTTTTCTGCTGGCAAAATCTGGCTCAGGAATATGGTGTCTTATCTGGTTGTCTACAATGCATCATCTAAATTGACTCAGCAAAGAGTGATTTACTGATAATTTAATATGACGGAATAAACTTCTGAGATACCACTGCACCCCATTTTCTCAGACATAAGTTCCCCATGAGTTGAAGGGCCTGGGAAGGGATTCTTAGATTATGGAGAGCCCCTGGGCCTGTGACGGTACCTCTGGATAGGAAAGACCATAGACACAGATGACCAGGGGGGTGCCAGGGAGGATGGAGCTCCTCAGCTCTGGGAGCCTGGGGAAGATGCCCCATGACTCAGCTTGTCATATGAGGGGCAGAGGTGCCATCTCCGAATGGCTAGGGAGTGTGGTAACAGCAACCACTGGGCCTGTGTGTGATTTGGTGCCCTGTTATCTGTAAGGAAGGTGAAGGAGCCCACAAAATTGATTGATGCTGGATTTTCCACTAATCTTAATATGCGGGACCTCGAGCTAAATTGAATTTCATTTAGTGAAGTTAAAAATTTGACAGTGTTTGCATCTAAGTTTATACAATGAAAAAAACACAGGTTAAAAATGATAGAATTTATAAACCAAAATAAAAATTGATCAAGAAATAAGCCCATTGGTGGGCAAGAAAAATCACATTTTCTCTCTTTTTTTGGGGTGCTAACCTATATGACAATAACATGTGACTGTTATTACTACATACTAAAATTTCTATGTAGGAAGGTCATGCGTCTGTGATGGAGAAATGCCCAGAAAGATCTGACTCCTTTCCTGGGGCCACCTGAGCAGAAAGAGAGCATCAGTCGGAGAACCGTGTGCTGGGGAAATGTTTTGTTCTATGGGTAACAGCTCTACACAGATGAAAATATCTTGTTTACACCATGAGTTAGAAGGAGGAATTCACATCCTTGTGTGATGTATAAAATAATGCACAGACTTGGGGACTGGCCCACCCAGTGGTGGGTGGTTGGGATGCTGGTGGGTGGTGAGGAAGAGGGAAGGTGACAGAGAGACCCCTTCCACCTTTTCCTTGTATGAACACTAGGCTTTGTTCTGTGACACTCTACTCTCTTGGGTTTCGTCTCTAACATTCGGCCTCCTTCTTTTCAGATTCCTCACTTAGAATATTAGAATTCCTTTGGGCTTCATCCTATGTCCCCTGGTTGACCACAACTACTGCCATGACCACATTTGCCACCACATTTATCCCCAGAATTTGAGACCTGTGTCTCCGATCTCCTTTCAAGCCCCAAACATCCACACACTACTTTTCATCATCTCCAGTTAGATGTCTTTCATCATGTCCAAAACCCATCCTGTTCCTGACCACATTCCTTATCTTCCTGTCTTGAATCTACAACGCTTTTAGTGCTCCCCACCCCACCAAGTACCCCATCATTCACCCAGCAGCCTAGAAGTGAACATGGGTTCTGCCCTTTCCCCACCCCAGATAGCTAATCCAGCATTGGTCTTGCTGATCGCAATTTTTAAATATCTCATCTCATTCTCAGTGCTTCCGTGAGGTCCACTGCTACAAGGATAGAAAGGCCCTAATCATAATACTATCTTATTAGCCAAAGAAAAATGGCCTGCTATTTGAGTTATAAATCATAACAGTCAGAATATCATTCTTGGTGGGACTACATCAAACTAAAAAGCTTCTGCACAACAAAAGAAACCATCGACAAGGTAAAGAGACAACCATCCGAATGGGAAAATATATTTGCAAGCAACACCTTCGATAAGGACCTAATATTCAAAATATACAAAGAACTCATATAACCCAATAACAGCAAAAAAAACAAATGATCCAATCAAAAATGGGCAGAGGATCTGAACAGATACTTCTCCCTAGAGGACACACAAATGGCCAACAAATATATGAAAATATGCTAATCATCGCTCGCTATTAGGGAAATGCAAATCTAAACCACAATGAGATACCATCTCACACCTGTTAAAATAGCTATAATCAACAGGACAAGTAATAACAAATGTTGAAGAGGATGCGGAGAAAAAGGAACCCTCATACACTGCTGATGGGACTGCAAATTGGTACAGCCACTATGGAAAACAGTATGGAGGTTCACCAAAAAACTGAGAATTGATCTACCATATGATCTAGCAATCCCTCTACTGGGTATCTAACCCAAAGACTTGAAAACATATATCGGAAAAGATATTTGCACACCGATGTTCATAGCAGCCTTATTCACAGTGGCCAGGACATGGAAGCAACTGAAGTGTCCTACGATAGATGATTGGCTAAAGAAGCTGTGGTACATATATACAATGGAATATTACTCAGCCATAAAAAGAGATGACATACTGCCATTTTTGACAACATGGATGCACCTCGAGATAATCATGCTAAGCAAAATAAGCCAGACAGAAAGTTGAAAATCCCATGATATCACTTATATGTGGAATATAAATCCAAAAGCAACAAATGAACAGGACAAACAAATGGAGACTCGTGGACATGGAATATAGACTAGTGGTGACCAGAGGGTAGAGGGAGTGGGGAGGTAGACAGGATAAAGGGAGTCAAATATGTGGTGACAGAAAGATATCTAACTATGGGAGGTGAACACACAATGTAACTATATATATATACCTTACTGTTAAAATGTATAGCTGAAACTTATCGGATTTCATTAACCAATGTCACCAAAAAATAAATTAATTAATTAAAAAATTTCATTCTTGGGCCCAATGAGCTGAGATCAATTGTCTTCATTTATAAATTCAATACAAGAAGAGGCACGAAAGTCACATATATGAGGAATTCTAAGCTGCAAGATGCCTCTTGCCCAGGTACTCCCTCTCAATAGGAAAGCTTGTGGAATGGCCCATTAGGGACATCCTTAGGCACATCCCCCGGCATGGGGCCATGTAACTTTGTTTTATTTTTGTCATAGCAGATGAAACTCATGGATACCGATTACTCTTTTTAGGAAGCTAGGTCAAAGTTGCTGAACCTTGGGTACCAGTGGAATGACTCGGTCTCCTATCAGTCTGGAACAATGACTGCCTCAGCTTTTATCTCCAGCCCAGGGCAGAGGGGCCATAGACAAATCACCCAGTGTGATCCAAGATATAATGACCTGAGAGGTCGCCATGTCACTGCCTGCCCCTCTGAGTGGCCTAGAACCCCTAGCCCATTAGTTATTCTCCCATGTTAGACAATGAAGTTGGGATGGGCTATAGGGGCTCCCTATGGGATCCACTTGCCCTGAGTATATTTCTCTGCAGGTCTCATGACAGGGTCCACACCTGGAACTCGCCATCTTGGCCTGGCCTGTTCCTTCTGGCTGAAGCATAAAACCACCTTAGCTCTGCTTGCACCTCGGAGAGGATGTTCAGGATTTTCCTTTCCTTCCCTACTGCCTCCTTTGATATGCTGCTCTCCTCTCAGATGTGCCCCTCGCCCCTAATCTGCAGGCCAGCCCTGCCCATTACCACCTCGAGCCCCATCTCTAGACACGCCAGGGGTACAGAACTCTGCTTCCCACACTAATGTGGAAATGGGAAGGTTTCCACTGAACAAATGGAAAGGGTGCTTTCACGCTGAGACATCCAACCCCAGAACTATCTACCTGGCATGGATGACATCCGCTGTTCTCTGCTCATCACACACAGCGACATGCTCCTTCGGGGGAAAGTGGCAATGACACAGATAATGTACTGGGGGAAAAGGCTGGGATTATTCTAGGGTTACAGGTTGGAGTTAGTACTTACATAAGGGTCAATATGTTCATGACTGTGAGACCTTGGTTTTGTCTATAAAAAAGAGAAAAAGATTGTGTGACAATATTGAATATAAGTTTTCGTTAACCACACCTTTGAGCAGACTTCTTTATCTAAAAGATTCATGCCACAGCCCTTCCTTAATTTTCATATCTGCTTTAATGGGTCTATATATCTAACTAGAAAATAAAAAGACCATTAAATTATGTGTTAGTGATAGTTTGGTCCAATGCAAGTTCTCAAACTCAAGGCAGGTTTGTGTGAAGCTGTGTGATGGGGAGTCTGGCCTTGGTTTCTACAGGTGGAGTTGGAGCCGCAATGAGAGAATCAGGCTGAGAACTCATCACCCACAGCCCCCAGTGACCACCAGGTCCAGGGTCCTGGATGCCATGCAAGTGTCCCTGTGAAATCCACCACTTTCCGCAGCTCTCCTGGGGCACAGCCCTAAAGATAAAAGGGGTACAAGGTCCTAGTGCCGCACCTCTTTTTCCTGAAGGTAAGCACTTCTTCTCTTTCTCCTGAATCCCAAGAGCTTGCATTGATCTTGGGTATCTGTGAAATTATTTGGCCTCCCGGAACAATGACTGCCTCAGCTACTTGCAGCCCAGGCCAGAGAGGCCACAGACAAACCACCCAGTGTGATCCGAGGTATAATGACTTGAGAGATGGCCATATCACTGCCTGCCTCGCTGAGTATCCTAGAACCCCACCCTCAACACTCCATTAGTTATTCTCTCATGTTATACAATGAAGTTGAAACAATCGTTTAGATCTGTCGTTTCGGCCGCCTTGCATTGCCATTGGCCAAGCTTATCACCTGGCTCTTAGTAGTTGCTCAGCAGTTGTTTGTTGAAAGGACACATAAGTGCACAAACAAGTGAATACTGTCGTCAGTTGGAAGAAGAGGTTTTTTAGCAGCCAGTAAATGATCCTCTTGGAATTTTATATCTTACTATCTTGGAGCACCTTAGTCATCACTGGTGGGCTTCACAGGAA